CGCGAATACGGAGAGACCCCGCGACGGTGATTTGTGTATCCCAGCGCGTACAGCGGAAGCCGTGAATCGCGCGCAGATCCTCATCCATTCACGTATCTCACAATCAGTATAATTCTGAGGTCGATTTCCTATATCTACCTATATCCACACCTACCTAATTAGAGAACATAATAATCCTATACCTCTGTGTATAATAATTAAAGTATCAGAAAAATAGATATTAAAATATCCTCGAAAATATCTAATGCGTCTTAAGAAATCTAATTAAAAGACATAATAATCCTACCTCTGTCTTCTATGTAGGATTATTATTAATTTCACCTCTATGTAGGATTATTATGTATCCTTTAATTAAACATTCTTATAAGACATTAGAATATTTTAATATCTATAATAGGTATATCTTTCTGATATTTTAATTATCGATATATGCTGTTGTTTCTATGAGACGAATTTTATATACATATAATTACAATAATATTATATTTTAAGATTACAAGGGATTACAGTAAAATGACGCAATACTTCGTTGATTCGCATCAGCACTTCGTTACGTACTGTTATGTAATAGTCATGTAAACTATGCTAGAGTTTAAAATCTCCCCGGAAACGAAACGATACAGTTTAATCCAATTTGATATTGCAGAGTAAACATTTTAATCGGCTTCCGTCTATCTATTATTTACACGAGTATATCGGATAAAAAACAATATTTTAAGAATGACAAACAAATATAAATAAGTAGAACAAAAAGATTAATTCAGCGATCTCGATTTTTATATAGTCTTTTAAAGAATTCGAGGAACAATAATAATAAAACGCTTATTTATCCATATCTGTTCATCTATACGGTTATTGGATAAATATAATATTTTATCATCGACAATTCTAAAGTCACATTTTATCATCGTAAAGACGCAGGGCGAACAAACTGCACAGCAATTACATCTGTCAACCTGCAGTTATCGACTCCGGTCCTGCAGATAGACCGCCGAGAGCAGAAACAACAGCTCGCCGAAGAAAGGGTACTCGAAATGATCGCGTCTTAAAATCGCCGGCAGACCTCGGGGCCGGCAGTTTCCCCTCTATTTTATACTTTTACGACGGGCGGGCGCGACTATTCCAATAATCGTAAAAATGAGGCAACGTCTCGGAATAGCGCCGCGGGCCAAGATACGCGTCATTAGGCGTGCGGCATTCGCAAAGTTAGTAGGAAGAGTCGCGGGTGTAAGCCGTACCAACGTAATGGCCGGTCGTAACGATAACCGTATCAATGCTAAACTCGAGTTCTCCCGGGCGCGAGATGAAAACGTGAAAAGGCAAATCCGAAAGGAGCAACATCTGGATCGTCGCTGCGTTATTACACAATAATTATGTGCACAGATTCTTAAATTCAACAGAAAAACACGAGAAGCTTTCCTCTTCTTCTGTATCAATACCGTAGATATCAGTGCAGTATTCCTTCATAATGACATATATGTGGGAAATTATTTCAATTTAATACGCGGTCTCTTGCATATTTTTACTCACTATTTATTATATGCTTACTTAATTACGGTGTTCAAATGTCCAGCAACATGCAATATATCAATAAAAGCAATGTCGACACCTATATATAGTTATTCTGAAAAGAACATGATCTCGAAGCTAACGATGCCGGAAGTATTGCGTCGCGAGATAGACATCGATATTGCGATATTATCGAGATCTCGTGAGGATTCGTAATTATGTGCGATCAGGGAAACGCGGCAAAACGAGCACGCACGTATGAGGAATATCGGGGATGCTTAATTGAAGCCGTGCCCGGTGTACAAAGCGCGCGGCAACGGATGTTTTACTCCGCGCGGGATACGGGGACCGGCTTTACTACGACGGATTCTTAAATCTTTCACGAATTACGTGACGTGAATCGTCGCGGATGGAAGGCGCGACGACGATGACGACGTGTGACGCGCCATGTACCTGATTTCACATCCGAGTCGGCGCCGATTCGACCATTCCGGCCTCTTCTCTTCGCATCAATCAACCTCTTTGCCGGGCTCAGACACGTAAAGTGGAGGAATTGCGCTTCCGGGATACTCTTTGATGTCCGTCGCCCGATCGGCTCGATTGAGAGGGCGTCCGTGAATTCTACTAAGGATTCGACGAGAGGGACCGAGTATTGGTATTGGCGATGCGGCGCGTCACTCTAAGGGACGCGTTAACCAAGAACTCTCGACGGCGAGCGTGACGTTTTAATTCCATAGTATCGAGGAACGAGGTGTCGGGATTACGGCGAGCTAGGGAGAACTAAACGCTAATGAATATAATCTCGCGCTCAGGTGTCGAGAAGCGCCGCGGCGCGTAGTGACATCGGGAAAAAATGTTGACACCTGTCGAGGCGCGAGTCGCAACCCGCGGCGTCTTCCTTGTTCGCGTGCGCGGGACACAATATTTTAATCTTCACTGACTACATCTTATGATCATGGCTACAACTTAATATGTATTTTGAATAGCCGAGCGTATACATGCGTGTAAGTCGGACAGCGCGCGCATTATCACGCCGCGAGCGCTAAAACATCTGGGCCCGACTCAGGATAGATAATTACGCGGTCATTCGGTAGATAAACCGGTTAAATCATTCATGTCAAACTATCCTCGGACTGGTTATCTCCGTTCCCCGCTCTCCCCCTGTCCGCTTGGCGCTTCTTGTTCCCCGTTCCGCCTAGCCATTATCAATCCGGTCCTTCTCTCGGTTCGAACCAGAACGCGGTCGCGCTGCAATTTAAATTCTCTCATTGAGGATCGTTAAAGTCTTTCCTTCTCTCCGTTCCTCCTGCTTTCTTCGGCCTAAGACGATCGAACGACATAATAATCGTTTAAGGTCTATCAATAAAATCAAAGCTCGTTATGGGGCTTAACGACGCGAACGTATATACCGCGCGAGACGATGATGGCGCTGACCGCGTCGTCTTGGGATTGCTGCGATTATCGTTAATTTTTTACAATCTACTCTCGCCGTATCAAGTTTGATAGTTTCGCGTAATTCTTGTTAACGTATACAAGTCAGGTAATCGATAGACACGTGAAGGAACGTAAAAAGGTTACGAACATGACACGGCGCGCATAGAACTTCTATATAGAAGTAACTGGGACTTACAGATGGAGTTCACGTATGCATTTCTGTATATAATTAAAGTTAACCCTTAAATGCCACACCTCTCAAGATTCTCGTAAATGACACATGGGGTCTAAAAGACCCCAGCATGAAAAATGTCTCCTTACTCATTGATTTTTTGATATTTAGTTATGAAAATTATTTTCAATGTTGTTCAAGGCTTAGAAAAGAGAATAAAATGCTTATATTGTTAAAATTTCAATTTCAACATAGTATAAAAAATTAAGTAAACTGAGTACTGCTAAGTGTACAACCGGGTAGGTCAATCACTCAACTATCATCAATGGGAACATGAGCTCCATTTTTGGGGGGAACATTTGAAAATATATCATTGTAAAGGGTCTGGGGTCCGCTGGACCCCGGGTGGCATTTAAGGGTTAAACACGACTGACTCATTAAGTTGCGTTCACGTAATATCTTGAAGCAAATTAATTTGTATAAAATAAAACGAGATTTTTATCACGCAGGATTTAAAAAAATGATTTGTAAGAAATCTAGAATCGTGTCGATGAAACATGTTTTCACTAGTTTTTATTTTATTGTTTTTAATTTTTCTAACGTGTAATTATCACATAAAAGAACGGATGTGTTGTTTGACTAATTTTGGAGATGCAAATTAGCATATGACATAATAGGCACAGTGACTGCAATTGCAATCACAGGACCGGAAAGGGTCAAGTCACGCGATTTCACGGACGCGATCTATTTTTACAAAGCTTAATGGATTAATGGGGCATCTTGTCAATTGGATAATCGAGCGTACGTAGGTAGGGTTTGCGAATTGACATCATTCCGAGGCAAATCGCTTGACGAAATAATCGCCGTAATGGACAACCTGAGTTATCAAAAAGTTTCTACTGATTTCGGTGCTGCTGAAAACTTTGGGAAATGATTTTGTCCTATTTCCCGGGCAGCCCCGTCACTCTCGACAAAATGCTGCAACAGCTGGAACTCGTTAAATGTATTTTGAGCAGGCATGTAATAACAACGTGTTATTGTTCCACGCCGGTGTGAAAACGTCCGGTGCACGCGCCAAACTAAAATTACTGCCTAACCTTGACAAAAGATTCCAATGCCCGATTTCGCGCGCGGAGAATATAATATCGCAAATGTAATTAAATATTGAGCTCGGTTAGATGTATTTATCTATCGTCTACGTCAATTTAGCAATCAGGGTAAAACAACGGCCATTATGTTACTGTTAATGTAAATATATATCAAGAGAGAAATATCGGAAAGAGAGAAGCGAGATTAATATTTATCTATGCAATAATATTCATTTGCTTAAACACGCGTTATTTCCAAATGATAAATTTTATTCGGCAATTTAATAATACCTATAGAGTATTTTAAATACGCGCGAATGTCTAATTTTCTTTTTAAAAGGAAAAACTTGTAACAGGCCATCATCATGTAAAAATACATTTAAATTTTTTGTCGCGTTAAGAAATAAACAAGATTAAATTAAGTCTTTCTGACAAAAAGATGAGAAAGATAATTCCTTTTTAAATGATATTATCATTCTCTATGGAGAACAATTTCAAAACCATCATATATAATATTTTAATAGCAATGTAATGATACTTTAATATATTTTGAAAATTAATTAAAACCGAAAATCCTGAACAAAAGTGTCGAGATTGTAATAGCTTTCAAATTATAAGCAATCAAAGTTGGCCGATATGGATCGCGTAGAGTTCATATACGCTCAAGCTCATAACTGCATTACATGCATACTGATTTATTATCGTATATGGTATTTAAAATAAACTATATAGAAGTTCTTTCTCTTGTTCTACGACGAAATAATTACTGATTAAAATGTCATTTTGCTTTGTTTCAGGTAATATCAACCACAGTTACCAATAAATATGAACGGGTAGACTATGAAGGATCAGTTTAAAATGGAAATATTTCAAGAATAAATAAAAGTAATAATCATTAGCGTGTTTCCTATTAAATAAATTACTTTAAATACGCTATGTGATTGTAAGATATTTCTTCTTTAATCTATACTTGCGATATATTTATATTTAAAAAATCTGATTATTAATTGCTCTCGCAACAATTTTACAATATTTAATCCTGGAAAGATTACATACCTATAGAGAACACACACACACACACACACACACAAACACACAGAACACAAATTCTATTTAAAAAATATTTTAGAGAGAGTGGAGAGAAAATAAAACACACAAATATTTTAACAATATTTTCCTATACCAAGTTTTATAGATATTAATCAATATTTACTTTACATAAATACATACAATACATAAATCCTGTCAATACATATATATGTATATTCTGTTCTCTCCCATCCATGAGATATAAATACTTACATAAAGAAATATTCTGAACTGTCAGTATTTTTTGCATTCTAAAATGTCAGCTTTTTGTAATTGTTATAATTTTCTTTTTTTTCTTATTTTTCGCTATATATAATATTTATACAATAAATGTAGAAATGTTAACAATAACGTTTTTGTTATAAATAATATCTTCATGATATTTTTCATTATGTTTTTTAAATCTTGCTTGTGCGTAGTTGTAATATTATTATGATATGATAATTTCACAAATTTAAGGATTAAATATTATCTGTCATAGCTCATTTATTTTAATGTAATGGAATTTATGAGAGTTAAATTCCTCAGTAAGTAATATTTTTATGTTCTTTACTCGGTTGTTTCATTATATATCTTGTGTACATGCTGTTTTCACAGATCCATTGCCGCAAATTAAAAATCAGAAATAATTGTGACTCGCCGATACGATGCGCAGCAGCGGAGTTGTAGCACAAAGCACAACTGCGTTGATCTGCAAAATACAAATGTATCAAAGTTATTACAACGCTCAAAATAATTAATATTTCAAAAATAATCACAGCACACATTGAATTCTTCATTTATTTTTTTAAAGTAAAAATATATGACAATTATATAGTAAAATAATTTTTAGAGAAAAACGAATAATAAATAAATAATATCTAATAAACTTACTTTATGATTGCTCCGCTGTCGGCCGATGCCTCCCAGGTTTCCTTCTCCTCTTCCTTCCTTCGTTAATTGCAACTGTACAACACTCACTCGCAAAAACACGGTTAATTACGATTGCGTGACATTTTGCATGGGACTCCCGACGTTATAGTCAAATGCGCACCGCGCATTTTATTATAAAAATTGTGACGAAAGAATAACGCGGAGAAACAATTGCACAGAATTATGAACGTCGAAAGTGATTAACAAATCATCAATGCGTACCAAATTTGCGCTAGGCAGTTAACAAATAATGCATTGTAATTAATATGCATTGTGTTCGGAGTCAATTCGTTCTACATTTAGTTTATTTAACACAAAATTTAAAGAGAAACATTCGAACTCATTAGAGAAATAATTATGGTTTGTTATGTTATGTAAACATGAATACTACTCTCTCTCTCTCTCTCTCTCTCTCTCTCTCTCTCTCTCTCTCTCTCTTGTTATTATTGGACTTTAACTTCAAATGAATACATCGTACGAAATATCCACTTTGAGGAACAGTCGCTGCTGCGATGCATTTACGAATCGCGAGAGTTAAGCCCCTTGCACAATTCCAGGCAACAGGCAATAGGAACAGAAATCAGAAATCATGTATAAATGCAGAATAAACAGTGACACAGGCAATAGACACAGAGTTTCCGTCACGTTGAAAATTCTGTGCCTATTGCCTGTTGCCAACCAATCATAGCATTCGAATTTTTTCATGTTGTAATTAACAATTTTTTGGTTATTTCCTGTTCCTATTGCCTGTTGCCTGGCATTCTGCAAGGGGCTTTAAGAAGGTATGTACATAAGCCGATAGTCATTATTGGAAGCGATCACGTTTGCTCTCAATTTTGTCTCAATCGTGTTTGGAAGGCTAACAACGGAGCATTTGTTCTCAACACTCTGCTCGCTCGAGTCTAACTGTACGAATGATAGTATAACGATCTTGTATAAACAATACGTCGCGGCGCGGCGTACGCAGACGCTCTGTTTACGAAAATCGAGCGCCGAAGGCCGAGTATGTCGATAGCCATTGTATGTCGATAGCTCTCGAAAATCTACAAAATAATTAAAGTATTAAAAATATACGCCGTATTCTATTCTTTGCAAATTACTAATCAATATCGATATTTCATGGTTTTCCATTTCTTCAGTTGTGTTTTTTGAACCAAAGACAAATTTTATTTTTTAATTTCAGATATTTAACATCAGATTTAATAACATTAAAAAAATTACATATATTGCACGTAAAAATTAAAATTTGCTATAATTAATCAATTTATCAATATTAGCTAATCATTATAATATATATAATATCTATTATATAATGAAAATAAATTCATATTTATATTTCTATATATTAGATATATAATAAATATAAATTTTTCAGAAATCAAAAGATAAAATCAATTGACAGTAAAAATCCTCTGAGTCATAAAAATGCGGTTTTGCTTCGAGTATACTTGGCGTGAGACACTACCGTGTCTCTTGATCAATGACAGATCAATACGTAGTGTGAACACAGTTATGAATATAATCGTGTGAACTTTACGCGATAACATTGACAATCTGATCGTTAGCTTTCATGATCGTTAACTGACTTCAATTTTTTATAATAAAATATTAAATTTTAATTAATGTTCAGAATACGTTATTAAAATATTGTATACAGTTATCTTGAAACATCTTGTACCGCGTTTCATGTACTTACATTACAAGAGATTACATTACATTCTAATCTTTCGATCCTAATCTTATCTTGCTGTCTCGATATCTTCAAATTAATCGTTATAATATACATACTTCTCCCAAAACAAAATCTAAATCTAAATCCAATGCCTTGAAATACGCCATTAACGTTCGATGTGAGGTAAAGTACCTTAGACGTCTCGACGTTATTCGAGAGCGCAGTGTCATTTCGATAACGAAGGGTGACTTGGACCAAATGTGGACCTCCTTGAGCTGTCTCGAGAGGGACAACTAGGATATCAGGAAAGACGATCTACTACGGAACAGATTCTGATTCACAACGACAGATTACCAATGCAAGGTATACATCGCGTAAGATACCGGTTTAAGATTTTCGCCTCCGCGATTGTTCAACTTATCGGAAAAGATTAACATGATGGCAAGATAAAGCGACTGCTCTTCTAACTACGGGATCGATACGTGATCGATACAGACTTTTTAACATATTCCGCTTAATTTCATCTCGCGATAGACGATGCACGATATCGGATTACGATGTGTCGCAAAATGTTGAAGCGTAACGCGATCGCCGTCTGACGGATTTCTAGCACGAACGGTTGTTAACCATAAAACAACGTTATCGCACGCTACATTTGTTTCAAAATATATTTGCTATTCCCATCGGGGCGGCCCGCTTGCCGTTTACGAACATATAGGAATGTAGAAATAATACGCGTTCCTAATTTCGACATCTGAGCCCCCATGTCCTTAAGTTAGCACGGATTATTAAGGCCGACGCAGAAACAGTTCCCTCCGAACAAAGTGGCAGCTTGTTTTCGTTTCGAGAAATATGTTACGTCTGATTTAGACGAAGCGGATTTCGGTCTTGAGAATCGGCCAAGAATCGAAATACAGAACAGGAAACCGTACGCGGAAGAGTCGGAATTTGAATACGAGAACTGCGAGAGATAGGGGATGTGATTCATGCGACGACAAGTAGAAAGTAGAGGTATTCGAAACTCGAAATTGCCAAAAACTTCGCAGCAACAAATGAGCTGCCAACTTAGGCACTGTCCCAAAATATATGTTATTTCGGTGAAACATTAGGACATAAACTGCAAAATAAATTTAATACCTCGGCCAATTCTCAAAATTGATATTCAAATTGCGTAATGTAATTAATTATATAATTATCCTAATTAAATATAATCAATATTATAACTGGCAAATCCAAATGTATTGTGACGATGTAATGTGCGTTGAATTAAATGCTCCGTATTTAATTGTTAAGAGATTACAGTGGCTGAACGCTGAGTTACACCAAGCACGTAAAACACCTGAGGCAAAAATAAATAAAAGCGCTCTTCGGCAACATCGTTAAATGAGTTTTACTTCCTCCCCGCAATTCCCCGCGTAGAAATCTACGAAGCCCTAAAATTCCATAGATACAAGCAGGACTACAAATCGCGTTAACCTTCTTGGCCTCGCCATCCGCGCTGCCCATCTTAAATTCAGGGCATGGAATGCCGCACTGGGGAAAAAGGCAGGCAACGTCCTTAAACTCGAGAGGAAAGGTAGAGACCTAGTAGGGCTTCGCCAATCCTCTTGTCACAAAATATATTTCCTAAATAGAATAGAACCGTTATGTTTGCTCGGAAACGCCCTAAATTGAATAAGTACGAGGAATACAGATATTCAATCACAATTTTGAAATCATTATTAATTACGATTGAGTACGTAAGATATTGAATTGGTGAAATTAAATTGTAAAACAGACCAAGCAAAAACAATTATATATAATCTATAGCTTTTATTTTCTAAATTGTTATATAGCATCGACACTGTATCTATAAGACTAAAGACCTATATTAAAAGTATTATCCGTTATTTCTCGTGACATATTTAAATTCTCCAATCTATCGATAACTAGATGCATTAAAGCAAATTAATAGCATAGTGTCCTTTTGTATCGGCAAATATTGAGACGTGAAAACGTTGAAACATTAGATACAAATATGGATATACCAATATCACCAAAACTAAATACAATACACATACATATCACTAAAAATATATATAATAAAAAAAATATGATGATTTTAAGTCTTTGATAAATGCCGTTGCGGGCGTAACTTTATACTTTCTTGACAAACAGCCACGCATTCGCCCTCGAGACATCCGCGAGAAATAAATTACGTAACAATTCACGTGGATATCATA